GGTCGGCCCCCCGGTTTCTTGAGTTGAGGGTAGTCCCCCGGTTTCTTGTGTGTCAGGTTCAGGTAGATCTTCATTCAAGTTAGGATCAGAGTCATAAGGATCAGGTATTGTAGATGCAGTTCCATAACTCTCAAGTCCAATACTGGCAACCCCATCAAATAATTGCACACAGAGTTCAGGATAAARCAGTCCGGTACTCCTCAATGGTTCCATGTATTTACTTTGCTGTTTTAAAAAAATTATATCCATATAAATAAATATATTATAAAAATATAATTATGTAAAGAATTAAGAAAGAAAATGACCGAAATTTCTATCTTCCATTCCTCATCCGATAGATTGAAGGTGTTGGTTGATGGATCGTAGACATTGCCCGTTTTGTTTTTCAGTTTAGACCAAGTTGCGTATTTTCCCTTAAGATAATCGTGGTGATTTTTCATTTGTCGTTGATCCACGACAATGTTATGTTTTCTTTTCAACTCTTCCCCAACATTCTTCCACGACTGTGACTTAAGACTACTACCTTCTCGTCCATTTTTCATTGTCTCGTGTATACAAGCTTCGAGAAATGTTTGGACCAATCCTTCCTTTTTCCAGGTAATCCTATGTTTCTTTTGGTGCGAAGATTCACCAACTAATTCCATACCTAGTCCAAACAATTTTATAAAGTACAAAGTAACATAAAGTTTAGCAAACGAATAAACAGCCCAATAAACATAAAATCTACAAGATTCACCAACTAATTCCATACCTACGTTTCTTTTGCCTCATCCTAAATAAAAATTGTTACCATCTAAAGCAGTGGCTTGTTTACAATTGTTACCATCTAAAGCAGTGGCTTGTTTACAATTGTTACCATCTAAAGCAGTGGCTTTTTAGCCCACACATTGTAAACAGAAAATCGAAAGGGCATTATAAAATCTTCAAAAAGGCAGTGCCTTGTTTGGGTTTGTTTACCCCATACAGAAAATCTAAACAACAATCTTCAAAAAAAAACAGCAGATAGAGGATGTAACCGAAAATCTAAACAGCAGATAGCAATCTTCAAAAAAACCCCATCTAAATAGCAAGATCTAAACACAAAATCTAGTAAAAAAAAGTGAAAGCAATCTTGTTTAAAATAGAGGATGTAACCGAAAATCTAACGGGAAACTGACAAACCTGTGGAAACCTATGGAAACGGCAAGGCTCGTAGAGGAAGCTGTGGAAAAAAAAATCTTGTTTAAAACAGACGAAGCTGAGGAAAGCAAAAAAAGTGCAGCTCTAACGGGAGACAAACCTGTGGAAATGGCGACCGACGAAGCTATGGAAAAGGGCGACCGACGAGTAGATGAGGAAACCGGCGACCGACAGCTGTGGAAACGGCGACCGAAGACACCGGCGTCGGAGAAGATGGAGGCGATAACCTGGAGGCGATGACTTGGGGAGAGGATGCGACTGTTCTAAGGGTGTGGAAGGGTAAATAGGGAAGAAAGGGTAATCTGAATGGTTTAGTGAAGTCATACCCTCAAAATGGTTAAGAGGCTTGTGTAACCATTAAGAGGGGTTTTTTTTTTGCCAAACACAGCACACCTCTGACCGATTAAGAGGTTGCCACTTAATGTCACCATTAAGTGGCAAACAAACAGCCCCTAAGACTTAATGTCACCATTTGCTAAATTTGCTTAATAAGATAGTATATATATATATATATATATATATATATATATATATATATATATATAAAGGAGCGATCAAATGAAAACCGCCACATTTGTGTAAACCATGTAAACCAATCTAATTCATCCATTTTCTTGTTCAATGATCAAAATTAGTTTAGGTTATATTAGAAAATTTAAAAAAAAAAAAACTTATTTTACAATCCCAAAAAGGACAAAATGGTAACTTTGGTAATGGTAATATTAATGGCAACTATATCATGTATATTGTAATATTAATGAAACAAAATAATTTGTAAAATAATATATTAATTTTATGTTCAAATATTATAAAAAAATAACATGCATCATTAAAATAGATGAACAATAAAAATAAAACACACTATAATTAATTTAACATAATGAAACTTTTGAATAATAAAAAAAATTACTGTTATGAAATGGTTTACAGTTTCATCAATACACAAATCAACGTAATGCTAGATGATCACTCTACTAGAAAACTAGGTATCAGCAACGACCATCAGCGAGGGAAAAAATCCCTCGCAGATCAGCGAGGGATCAGCGAGGGATTGTCCAGAAAATGAATCCCTCGCTGATCCCTCGCGGGATTCATTTTTTGGACAATCCCTCGCTGATCCCTCGCTGATCAGCGAGGGAACAACGAGGGATTCATTTTTTGGACAATCCCTCGCTGATCCCTCGCTGATCAGCGAGGGATCAGCGAGGGATTCAGTTTTTGGCTATTCCCTCGCTGATCCCTCGCTGATATGCGAGGGATTAGCGAGAGATTCAGTTTTTGGCTATTCCCTAGCTGATCCCTCGCTGATCAGCGAGGAATTGTCTAAAAACTGATTTTCAACAATTTTTTTATTTTATAACTACAAATTTAATTACTTATTAATTTTTACTTATTTATTATTAAATTTCCAATTATTTGTTATTTATTAGAATATTACAAAAATTAATTAGTTAAACCGAATAAAACCCATTAAGTCCCATTAAACCGAATAAAGTTCATTAAGGCCCGATACACTCAAAATAGTCCGGTAAATGGATTAAGGCCCAGTTAAATGGGTTAAGGCCCAATAAAACCGAGAATGAATATACGAATACCTAAATATATAAATGTGTACATGTAACACATAAAAATCAAGAAAATCAAGAAAATAGGACAACTCCCTCGATCAGCGAGGGATCAGCGAGGGAAATGACAAAAATAGATTCCCTCGCTGATCCCTCACTGATCAGCGAGGGATCAGCGAGGGAAATGACAAAAATCAGATTCCCTCGCTGATCCCTCACTGATCAGCGAG